TTTCTACCAGGGTTAATTTCACAACCCCCTAAACTTTGGGGAGTGTTGCCCATAACCTCTTGAACTTTGTTAATCTTAGATAACCTATTGATCACTTGGGTGTTAAAAACCCCTCAGAACTTTAAACTTTTCTCATCTGACCATTACATGTAATTTGCAAATAGTTAAAATTTCCTTGAGAAAAAAACCTAAAATTTAGGAGAGGGTGTATGCTGCTTGTAAATTGTTAGACCCTAGAGGGGGGTGATTAGGGTCTTATGCTAATCTAATCTGATTAAATGCCAATTAAAACTTATTAACAAGTTATCCTAGCAAGTATGAAATACAACAATGTATATGAGCTAGGATAAGTAATATGAACAACAAAGAGATATATCCTATGTGATGAATTATAAATAATGAGCTAATGACAATGGCGATAAGAAATATAAACACAAGTATAAATAAACGCCAAAGCACACTCAAACACAAGATATGATCACGGAGTTCGGACCTTCCGTCCTACGTCTCCGCTCCCCACTCCCGGGGAGAAATCCACTAACACAATCCGGTTTGGAAGCTGGAACTTCTTCTACACACTCGGTTTTCTAGCTAACCGAAAACTCTACAACTCACACTCTTGCAATCACACTCTACACCCACTAAGTGTTGGACCTAGCCGTGTCTCCCTCAAGTGCTCGGTTACAACCTCTCCCTAGGCACGTCAACCGACGCCACTCCTCTTGGGACGATCCCCGACTCTCACCACACACTTCTCACTTGGTGTACAAGTGTATTACAAAGTGATCTCACAATTAAGCACAAATACAGTAAATGATTGTTCTCTCTAACAAGGTGGGAACTCAATTTAGCACAACTCAAGGTTACAATCTCTCACCACCCAACTATACTATGCAATGAAAGATACAATAAGCTCAATGTGGGTGTGGGTGTAACAATGAGTAAATAAGATCCAGGCGTGATATTTTGTACAGTCCTTCTTTACATGTCCAGGCTTCTTACAGAAGAAACAACCCTGATTATCCTTATGTTGTTTCTTCTCAACTGGACCCTTAGCAGCTTCCTTATCATTCTTCCTTTTCTTGCCCTTATCCTTAGAGGCATAGGCCAAATGAGCACTTTCTGTCTTATCTTGCTTCAACCTGTCTTCTTCTTGCACACAGTATGAAATGAGCTCATTTAGAGTCCATTTCTCCTTTTGACAGTTATAACTGACCTTAAATTGGTTAAACTGTGCAGGAAGAGACAACAAAACCAGATGCACTAATAACTCGTCACAAAGATCGAGTTTAAGTGCCTTAAGCTTTGAAGCAATATGAGACATTTCCATAATGTACTCCCTGATATTTCCTTTGCCCTTATACTTCATTGAAATCAAGCGAGCTAAAAGCGTGCTTGTTTCTACCTTATCGTTTTTCGCAAAACGCTTCTCAATTTCGGCAAGGAAATCTTTAGCCTTAGTAATCCCTTCGGATTCTATGCCCCTGAAGGCTTCCGGAACGCCGCGCTTAATGATCATAAGACTCATGCGATTTGAACGCTCCCACTTCTCATGCTCCTTCTTTGCATCAGGAGTGCTATCCGCATTGAGAGGTTGGGGTTGTTCAGTTCTTAATGCATAGTCAAGATCCATGCAGCCAAGAACAATTAATATGTTCTCTTTCCAAACCTTGAAGTTTGTCCCATTTAGCATGGGAATTGAGTTGATGTTAGCAGAAATTGTTGCAGCAGATGCATTAGCTGAAATAAAACAAAAGAATGCTCACATCAATAACCATAATCAATAAAATTCAAATAATGACAATCCCCATCCAAGATACCGGCACAACATTAATATCAAGTCTTTGGACAGTAATATTAACTTGTAAGTGATACCTTGTTGCAATGATCAAACATTGACAATAACTCATGTCAAATAATGAAACTATCTTTGGATCGATTCATTATTCACATGTAAACCTTATAATTGTCACACGCTTATCATCGCAGATGTGTATACAATCTAAATAAATATTAACCTTCCTTTGGGCTGATTAAATATTTACACGAAAGCATACTGGGCCGATTAAATATTTACACGAAAGCATACACACAAACATCTCACATTCCTCATGAACAATCTACACAAGAGAGGTTACTTTGGCAACTTCTTGTTTCAATTAATCAATTGGAGTGAGAGACAACCTTAATACCTTAGTGTCATAATATTTGAATTAAATAATTGATTAAAAACCGAATTAGATTTAAATTAAAAAATTTTAATTTAAATCAACTGAATTTCCAAAAATTTAATTGGGGTCTCACAGCTTAATTAGGGCCCATAACTTAATTGAATAAATTAAGTATACCAAAGTGGACCCATGAAAAGCCGAGGCTTAACCATAATGAACACGAAGTTCCCTTAACTTCGAACGCGAGGTTCGACTGTATTGAGTACGAGACTCACTTAAGCACGAACGCGAGGTTCGTCTGAAAATGAACGAACGCGAGGTTCGTTTGATAAAAGAACGCGAGGTTCAACTTGGGAACGAACGCGAGGTTCGTTTAAAAATGAACACGAGGTTCGTCTGAAGTTTGAACGCGAGGTTCGTCTGAAGTACGAACGCGAGGTTCGTCTGAAGTACGAATGCGAGGTTCGTCTGAAGTTCGAATGCGAGGTTCGTCTATAGTACGAACGCGAGGTTCGTCTCAAGTTCGAACACGAGGTTCGTCTGAAGTTCGAACACGAGGTTCGTTAAAAATTGAGCTTGACGCTCACCTGAGTTGAACGCGAGGTTCACCTTAGAACGAACGCGAGGTTCGTTGAGCGCGAAGCTCGGTTAAAATTGAACGAACGCGAGGTTCGTTTGAGGTAACCACCCCCTTAATTTTCGCCATGAACCCTTAGGGTTTCAAACTGAAACCGCCGCCGCCAAACCCAAAAAATTCTTCGATTTTTATTTTCAAAACCAGATCCAGAATCGGAAAAAATTTCTTGATCCAGATCCAAGAAAAATTGAATAAAAAATGAAAGGAAAATCCAAAAAATGCGTCGGCTGTTATATTGTAAGTCGGGGGATTTGATTATTGGATTTATCCCCCCTACTGTCAATCGTCTCCTTGATAGTTTGTTTTCATCTGAAATACTTGAAGTTTGTTTACCTCGACACTAATATTTATATTGATTTTTGGTTGCTACACCTTTCGCAGGCTGCAATAGTAATTCCTGTTTATGCGATTTGAACAATATTCATGTGTTCTTTCCTTTTGAAATAAAGTATCTGGGTACTTGAATCTGTAAATATCAACAAACCTGTGTGTGGTATATATACTGGTATTGGTGGCACGATTCTGCCTTAGTTATGTTCTCTTTTTGTTCACAACATAGATTTCTTGTTTTTCACATATTTAGATGCAGCTAGTTGTTGTCCTGTTCTACTCTCTCAATCTTTAACATCCGTATGGTCTTGAAACTACTAGTACAACTATCAATATCCGGTGTAAATTTTACCTGCCGTGATCTCATCTATAAGAATTGAGAGAATTAGACCCTCTTTAATTATCACATAAGTAGAGAGAATCCAGATCCGAAAAATACAGTTGCTTCAGTAGAGAGAATCCAGATCCGAAAAATACAGTTGCTTCTCTAATTACATCAAAATATGCAAAAGCAACATGGTTAATGAAAAGGGATTAAGGAAAAGGATTAACATAGTTAGCTAATTCGATAATCCGAAGGACTAAATTATTAACCCGTTATATAAGTTTTATTTTAGTCATTGTAATTAGAAGGGTTAACTCTTAATTAGAAGGGTTAACTCTTAATCCTTCTAAATAGGATATTAGTAAACTCCTCATTTTGAGGGGTTAACTCATTATAATCCATCTAAAGGGGTTAGCTTAACCCTTCTTTATTTTTTATGTTTGGCAAATTATGGAGGGTTAACTCACTTTAACCATTCTATAGATTTTTTATGTTCGGCGGGTTAAGAAGGGGTTAAGTCTCCTTAACCCCTCACTTAACCCTTTGCAGTTTTAAATAAAGATTCTAAAAGCGGTTTTAGTTTTGGTTTAAGTGTGTTAAAAACGCTTTTAAGGCAAATTGAGAGTTTGTTTTGGTGAATCAAATCCGACAAGAGTTTGTTGGACCCTAGAGGGGGGTGATTAGGTCAAAAGGCTCTAATATGCAAATTAAAAACACACAACAATCAATTCACAGTAAATAGATGCAAACAAGGTAAATAGAGAGGGTTAGGAATCGTTATCCTTGACGCGCCGATGTGTTAACGAGGTTCGGCCCTCTGGCCTACGTCCCGCTCCCCACTCTCGAGGAGAATCCACTACCAGCCCGGTTTGGAAGCCGGAATTCGTCTACACAGCGATCCCACACGATCTCTCTCACTACACAGTTTGATCTCAACAGATCACTCCTCACAGTAGATCTTACTCAAATCTCAACTACACAGCACAAGATAACAGATGTGAACTCTCTCTTACAAAGCTCCTATGGCAAGAGAACAAATTTCGAGCTAATATAAATTTGTTCTCTACAATAGATGAGAACACAATGAAAGCACAACTCAAAGTTACAATCTCTCACCACCCAACTATACTATGTATGAAAGATACAATAAGCTCAATGTGGGTGTGTGTGTAACAATGAGTAAATAAGATCAAATCAACTAAACTCAAGTATGAAATCTAGCTTAAGAACAATGATAATCAATCAAGTATATAAATGTAAAGCTAGAGTTTGAGTTTAGAAAACTTCTCAATTTGATAACAAGAGATGGAGGGATGATAGTTGGAAGCTCAAACTTCAATAGATAATCTCCTCAAGCTCTTGTGGAATTTGATTCACCAAAACAAACTCTCAATTTGCTTAAAAGCTTTTTAAACACACTTAAACCAAACTAAAACCCTTGTTAAAAACTTTATTAAACTTGATTAAAAACTCTCTTGGTTAGTTGTGAAAGATGAGAGCAAGGGGGTATATATAGTCACCCAAAACATTAGCAAAAAACCAGAGCAAAATGACCAAAAAACCCCAGAAAACATCAGCTCAGAAAATAGCCGTTAGAGTGCAACGGCCATATAGTCGGTCGACCGGAAATTCTGTCGGTCGACCGATTTGAGCTCTCGGTCGACCGGACCGGTCGACCGACGATTCTCTGGAAAAATACTGACGAATGGTCAATTGACCGGTCGACCGTACCGGTCGACCGAAAACTGACATTTCCAGAAAAATCGGTTTTAGAGCTGATTTTAAAACCCTGTTTAAAAATATCAAATAAATTCCAAAAAATGTAAAACTTTGGGGAATGATTGTAGACATGATAATAAACATGCTACAATGACTGGTTATCAAAAAGGACTTCCCAAATGAAAAATATCATCATTTTACAAAATAAGCCAAAACATGAAAATGTAAACATGTGAATTTTGACATTTTGGCTAAACCAACTTTTGAAACTTTACAAAATGATTTTATAGACTTGAAGAAAGATGTAAACTATTGTTATGAAGTCTATAAACAATGAATGTAGTATTTTATCAAAATACACATATAATGCACTAATATATATATATATATATATATATGACTATATATATATATATACGAAGAAACCAATAAATGTGTGTGTATAGATAATTGAGCTTAAGGTACTTCACACACATAATATAAAATCTAAACTAGATTACCCAAGCTTGATCTTGATCTTCATTGTAGCTCAACTTGGTACACATGCGGATGAAGCTTGAACTTGATCTTTAACTATGAATTGCATGTTGCTTCACTCCACAATTCCGCCAACCTCCATTTGATATCGTCGTTATGGCGCAATCCATCCATCCTCCAACTACGTTGTTTGTCTACAAAACATAGGAATGCACAAACACTAGACAAACAACATTAGTAATAAATTGTTTGTTAAACATCATCAAAACAAGAAGGCCAACAGTAAATGACAAATGAAAATAATAATTCTCTTAATGATATTTTAGTTATTTGCAAATTACACACAAGGGTCAGGTGAGATAAGATTAATTTTCACGGATGTTTTGTGAGACACCCCTAAGCTCAAGAGGTTATGTGAGATAAACACGTTTATCGGGGTTGCGTGCAATACCCCCAAAGTTCAGGGGGTTACATAAATTAACCCTTTATGGTATTAACAAGCTCTATCCTTGTACTAGTTCTTGACATAAAGTGCAAAGAGAAAATTGTGGATAAAAACGAAGTTATGAGAGCTTCATTTCTTGGTTACCTATGAGCAGGTTAATTCTCATTTCCAGTTTGAGGAAAGGGAAGGGTACATTTGATATAACACGAATTTTTACGTACACATCACTTTGAGTTGTAGATGCAGTGTTGAAGTTAATATTATTAATAGTAATGTACGTCAGGGTTCTGGTTTCTCTGTCTTCCGATCTGAAATCTAATTAGAGGGGCCCTGGCTGTTTCATATCGGGTACCCTATTTAGGCCCATATAGTTATTGGGCTCGTCGATAGCCCATATTCCGACTTGTGATGGCCAGGCCCATGTGACTCCAGTAAAAAAAAAAAAACGAAAAAAAAAGAAAAAGAAAAAAAAGAGAACAAAACTATAAATCAACCAGTAATCCGAACTGATCCCGTATGCATAATAAAATAAAGTTCTATTAATTCCCAAAATAAGTACATAATAACACCAAGGTTATAAATGGAACAACAATATCATTTTCCTTAAGAACAAGCTAGACATGAACCGATACAAACCACAAACAAACTAACAGATCGCAATTAAGACTTAAAAAGAGAATTAACAGGTTTATTTCCCCCCCTTCATTTTATGCACGTAAACTAAATCCATCTCTTTTAGACCATATTCATCTCGACTCCATTCCTCTCCTCCTTCACCTTCTTGGCTTCAGTCTCTTCACCGGCAACCTGACAACGAACATCGACGACGGTGACCTCACCTAGTTTCCCTGCGACCGCCACGTCGGCTTCTTCCTTCAACCCCTTCACGTCCTTGTAGATTATGTACAGAATCATTTGCACTAATCCAAAGGTAAATCCCAATATGTTCGGAATCTATTCAAACCAGAACGTACGAATAAACATAAGCTTATGGTAAAAAAAAAAAAAAATACAGGGGTTAGTACGTTAAACAAATACGTTGCGGAGATCTCATCTGCAGTTAAGCATAAAATGTATATTCCAGGGATCGATATATTAAGGGTCAATATTAATTTACCGCGACGTAGATATCTTTGATAAGGAAGCCATAGGAGAACCACACGATGGCACTCAATGTGAGGAAGAAGGATAAAGAGAATGGCATGAACTCGACACTCTTTGTTCTGATCACGATCCTCTACACATCGAAATAAATCAAATTAATTTTCTAGCTATTTCGTCAACAGTCATATATCGAAGTAACTAAATAAGAAGAAAGAATAGCTTACAATTATGCTCAGAGGTGCAGCAAACACACTAACCGCAAATCCCACACAAATCCAACCGAGAAGTTTTTGCCGGCCCCGGCCTTCTGCTAGTAAAAGCGTCGACAGAACAATCAAAGAGAATACTCCCACATTCAGGAGTAAAATCAATTTTGCAGTGTAGACCTACAAAAATTTAACAAAAACCTCTCAGATTAGACCAATCCATGAAAACTTTCGACATGTTTTTTGTGCATGCATACCTTAGCTGTTCTTGGTGCATAAGCAAGATATATGACGATATATATCGTCTCAATGATGCATGCAACTGTGTTAATGGTGATGAGGAGGTACTCGCTGCCCTTGACGAAGGCGTAGTAAATCCATAGCATGGCGCTGAATAGGGCGACGACGTAGGGGACTGACTGGAACCCGTCGGTTGTTTTCCTCCTCCATATTCGATAGAATGTCGGTCTGTAGATAGTTAAGATTGAAATATGTTAGGAGTGAAGTCCTAAAGAGAAAATGTGAAAATGGAGAGAGTATTTTGTAGAAATATAAAGTCTTACACGGGAGCGAGGCACACCATGAATGATATCAAGTTGCCTACAGTACATGAAAATTGAGTTAGAAAGCATAGCTAGAGAGATTAGTATGTCCTTAGTGGATGCATTAAGAAACAAACTCACTGTATGCATAATAGAAAATGTTTCATTTCTTATAAGATGGAGAGATAAAGAGGAAACAAGAAAAAGAGAGAGGATTCATTAAATTATAATCATCTATTATTCTAGGGCATAACTATGAATTGTGTTGCGAAAAGTAGAAATGAGTGCAATTTATAATTAATGGAGACTGCTACTGCTTATATTAATTACATGTAAATCATAATAGTGTAACAATTACGACTGAAGAATTGATCTTCCTGACCTTGAAGAGCATCTCCAACTCAATTATGTACGTTAGGCTAAAAACTCAGGTTTGGACCATGCATAAATAATGAAAAAAAAAAAAAAAGAGTGGAAAGGTTAAGATTTAGTAAAAGTGCTAGTGGGGTTTTGGCCATTATGAGCAACTTTTCTTGATGGTAAAGCCCATCAACACTTCTTGATGTTTGCCACATGAAAACTAAAGAAATAAGCATGCAAATATACTACACATGACCAAAATCTCCTAGCTAGATCCTAGGTTTATTGCATTATATATTTAAAAAAAAAGGAAGAAAAGGAGAGCGAAATATCGTAATAAAACTTTGTTTAAAAAATGTGAGAAAATAATACAAAAAAAGTAGTGAAGGTATATATGCAAAGTATTTTAATTAATTAATACCTAGGAGGCCAAAGGCAAAAGCCCAAGGGTGATCCAAGGATAGCCCTGCCATCTCTTCAGAAAACCACAACAGAGAAGTTGAGGAGGAGGAGGAATGAGGAAGAGGAAGAGCACAAGTAAAGTAGAAACCTAATGGGTTCTGTCCTCTCTCTTGTAAACAAGAAAGAAAGAAACGAACAAACCCAAAGCCTTTGCTCCTTATCTCTCAAAGTCTCAAATACTTTGATTGCACGATCCTTGGCCTTGGGGATGAGGCCCCTTTTATAGTGATCCATAGAGGCTACAGAGAGAGAAGAAGTGGAGGAAGTGGAATTTGGGTGGATATTGATCCACCTCTCAGATATAATTAAAACCACCAAAAAAACATGCATGCTAATAAAAAATTAATGGTATTCAAATCGAGAATTCTAGTGCTTGCCTTGCTAAAAGAAGAGATGCACGTAAGGATAGTGTGGGATAATATTATGATTGTGATTATTTTACGTTATTATAACCAATTAAGTTTGCCCCACTTTTCAAGTGACTCATTTCTCAGAACAAAGGCTTAATCTTTTACCCTTCTGAGATGTTTCTCATAGACTCATACTATACCCAAGTCAGCCGAAGGATCCCAGCCATGATTTTCCACTGGACTTCTTTGGAAGCAATATTTCTCACTTATTTCCTCAAGGAACTAGGCTCTTATAGCTAATTAAGTGCATTTGCATAACCTCTTGTTTTCACCCACATCAAGGATGGGAATTTAAGGAGTTAATTTAGAATTTTCAGTTTCACCAATTATTTTCCTAGCGAACAATTTTTTATTTTTTCCAATTTTCTCATGTTTACTCAATTCTTAAGTTGTTAAGATGTATTCCTTGTTGGGATTTTTAGATCACGAAAAAACCCTGAAAACCACCAAACACAAATAAAATCATACAATATTTAACATGGAAAACGTTCAACATGGAAAAAAACCACATGATCTAAAATAATCCACTATCACCTCTAAATTATAATCTTTTGCACGGATAAAAACTACGAGACTGTCTTTTTCATAGTACCATTGAAGCCCATTCTATTAAACCATGATTACAAGAATATTATCTCACTCTCACTCTCTCTATTTAAAAATCCTAGAATATGATACCTTATTTAGAGACATCACTGACTTGCTCACCTAGTCAACTTTACCTACAAGAAAATTTCTATCTTGTTCTCTAAGAAAGCTACGAGGATTGAGACTAGCCTTCAAATCTAGATTCATCTTGGAGTTTGAGTCGACACCCAGCATATCCTCCCTTGATGAAAAATCTTCAAGTATCTCAACGAGTTCAGAAAAACTCACTCTCTTCTTCTTATTCTTCACATCTCCCTTGTGGACAAGAGTCTGAAAAGAGTCACATGCACTATCAACAGGTCGCTCATTTAAATAGTAAATATGGTTGCTATTATTCTTCTCTCACAAAATTAATTCACCATCTATATACACTTTGCACTATTCTCCTTCACCCATATAGTTGTACCCACGTGATGCCATCTCACTCGATGAAATTAAATTAGCACCACATAATGGTACCTATTTCATATAATGAAGAATTCGAATCTTCCCAGTGTAAAGCTTAAGGTGAACACTCCAAACGCCTTGAATCTTCATATTATCTTATTTCCAACGATGATGTCACCAAATTCTTCATTAAACTTTGATGTGTCAAAATACTTTTTGTTATTACAAATGTGCATAGAGTCTGCATAATCTAACACCTAAGTGTTACTCGTATCAGTACCGGTACTATTCGTCGTCAACACCACATCTTCATTACACACAATTGCCAAAGAGTCCTCATTCTTTCCATTTTTTTAAAGCTTCATTAGTCTAATGCTCTACCAATCATCTCGAAACTGGGAACATTTGAACTGAATAAGACCCTTCTCTCCGCAGTAGCACTTCCTTTCGCTTTCGTCTCGGGTGTAAGATTTTGATCTTCCTTGATAATTGTCACATCTCCCCTTACTCCTCGATTAGAACCTCCAAAAGCTAGTGCACTCTCACCACCGCTAGATGCACTCTTCTTTCTCGTCATTCTTTCATTTTCTAATAGGAATACTGCCACACCATCAAATTTTAAATTCTGCTTTCCTGCAATTATCATATGAACTAATGGCTTGTACAACTTCGGTAGAGAAGATAGTAGGAGTAGCCCCTGCTCTTCTCCTCATTAATATTCATAAGTTGATACACTAGCTGATTAAAGACATTGATGTGTCTCGAATTACAATACATTCTTTCATTTTTTAATGAATAAAGTCACAATTAGTTGATCATCGACTTTGATGCATAAATCCTCTCGAGCTTGTCCTACAACCCTTTGAAAAGATCTCCTATATAATACTGTACTTAATCTCAAGAATGAGTTCCAAAAAATTGTGCTAACTATCTTCTTCCGCATGGAATCCCATTCACCATCCTTCATCCCTACAGGCTTTTGTTAGGCCTTTTCTCCTCTAAAGTATCAACACCTTGCTGCACAAAAAGATCTTGAACCATACATTGTTAGACTGCAAAATTTATCTTTGGAGAAAAGGGAAGAAGTTTGAAATAAGAGAAGCCCAGTTGTAAGGAGAGCTTGATAAATCTATATCTCATGTTTTATGTATGCACACATGTAAAGGGAGCTTGCATATCATATTTTATATATCATATAACTAAGTTTTATACATTTCATGTATCTCACATATTTATTCTTTTGATAGATTTTTTAGTTTGTTATTATCAAAAGGGGGAGATTGTTAGGACCGTGCCTATGCAATCAACTTAGTTTGATGAATAACAGACCTTCATATTAGGCTAACATATTGAGATATTTTATTTATAGGGATCCAAGAATTGATATTTTTGGAAGAGTTTTGATTTAGTTTAGTTTCTAATTTTTTATGGAATGTCTTTTTATTTTAGGAAGTCTAATTATCTTAGGAATGTCTTTTTATTTTAGGAAGTTTAATTGTCTTAGGAATGTCTTTTTAAGTAATATGGACAAAGTTAGAAAGAACAATCAAGTTGTTATTGCACCCATCAAGCAATTAGATGAAAAATTGATGGTCATACATGACGACGTCGCATTGTTGGAGGAGCATCCTCATAGGCACGAGACCAGTTGGATCAATTCCCTTGATCTCGATGCTATTCATTTTAGCGAGGAGAGAACTTTCTCTTGTTAGAAAGATGGCATTTAGTTTACACTTCCTCATAGTGAAGTGAACCAAGTGTAGAAATTGCAAAGCTGAATGTTGGTTCTTTTCTTTTTGTGCAGGGTTCAGATGTTGATAAACATCATCATTTAAAATTGTTTGATGAGGAAGACATAATGATGGGTCATTTGCACAATAAACCATTGCCTAAGAAAACCTACCACAAATTTAAGATGAAGAAGATTGTTGATTTGACTGAGTTTCACCCAATCAAGTCGTTTTAATTTCAGCTGAACTCGAGGACGAGTTTTGTTCATGGAGAGGAGAATGATGGTGAGCCAATAATTAATATTTTTGGAAGAGTTTTGGTTCAATTGAATTTTTATTTTTTTATAGAATGTCTTTTTATTTTAGGAAATCTAAGTATCTTAGAAATGTCTTTTTATTTTAGGAAGTCTAATTATCTTAAGAATGTCTTTTTATTTTTAGAAGTCTAATTATCTTACGAAAGATTATTTTAGTACTTTTGCTTTATTACACCCTACATAAGGGGGATGAACTATATGTTATTTTTTAGATTGGTTATTATTAATCTCAGAATTTTTTCTGTACCTAGAGTTTCTATAGTTTGTGCTGTTTTGCTTGTACGAGAATGAGTAGTTATTTTTTTAATTACACTTTTGCTACATTATTTATACAAGTTATAAAAAGTTGGAATTAATTTTGAAAGTATATAGAGCAAGATAACAAGTTAATCACAATTGATTCTAGAAAAACATCAAGAGTAATATAAATTTTGAGCACATGAGAGTGTCCGTCTCATTTCATGAATTCATAGGAATAAACAAAATTTAACTTAGAGATGATAACTCGAGATATGAATATTTTAGTTAAAGAACACCGACACAGTCAATAACAGTTCGAAAACATATGCTGATACTAAAACTTGCATGAGCCATAACATTTAACTCGATTATCGAATCACCATTATAATAGCTTTTCAAAAAACTCTCTATCTGATCTATAGACTATCGATGGTGCTATTAACCATCGATGATGAAAATGCCTAGAGAGGTTTAGATCATAGTGGTGACAACTTGACCAACAATGGTGAAGTTTGACCATCAATGGTTGGTTGTTAGATTTATGGTTTTTGATCTTGTGCGGTGGTAAAAGTTGATTCCTTCCGAAAGGAGGAAGATTTGTATTGATAAGAATAACTTATTACAAATCAAGAATAAAAAATTATAACAGAAGTGAAGAGAATGTTCTTCTTGTTTAACATGGGTTCTTCGATAGCGATAAGATGCCTCCCTCGAATGCTTGCATAGAGTTTGCTTTCCTTGGACGATCCGATCGAAATTGCAGTTGAGCTTCAGTACACAATAGAAGCTCTTGTGTGATTGAGTTCGATTATACCCGAGCTTGATGAGTATCAAGGTCAAAAGCTTAGAGAGGGCTACAATGCAAGAGTTTGCAGAGAGCTAATGAGTCTCAAATCTGAGAGTTCAGATTGAGTCTACTTCAACAATCCAAGCAAAGAGCTAGGAAGGTTCTACCAAGCAAGCCAATGAAGATATCTGTTTAAAGAGCCTTGAGGGAGCCAATTAGCTAGTCTCCAAAAAGAAGAAGCGAGGAGCCTTAAGAGAAAGTCTCCAAACGATCAAGCCTCTAGTTGAAGAGTCTTGAAAATGCCAAGCTTTTCAACCAAATTGTTAGCTGAACCCCCCTTCACGTTAGCAAAGGGGTCCTATAAATAGGCAAGGGAAAGCATGTGCCATCCATTGATTTGTGGGGGATGCGACCACTAATAGGAGTAAGGAGTAGCATACTCCCCTTATAGCTATGGGATGTGATCACTATAGGGGTGATAGAAGCCATGCCTCATTACCCAGGATGTGGGAAGTGGGTAGGCTAACTCCCACAAGCAAGTAGCCGCTTGCACTGTTTAGACAGGACTGACAGGCTTGCAGGCGAGCTTGAGAGCTGCTTGAATGTTCAGGCAAGCTTGCAAGCGAGCTTGGCGAACAGGCGGGGTCAGCTGACGGGCCCC